TGGGTGGTATTTAAGCTTGATTTTCATGCATCCGTTGTCCGACGATACGATGATACGATATTAATTTTATTGGTTGAATTTAAAAACTTCGATTGGTTAACCGTTTCTAATCAATCGATGTCTTTAAATTCAACCAATTAAACTAATATCGTATCATCGTATCGTCGGACAACGGATGCATGAAAATCAAGCTTTAGTCTGAATTATTCTCTGAATTTGACTTCATCATAAAGCAGATGTCGATTTAAGATGTCAATAATAAAGAAAGTTGTAGGGCCGCACGTTTCAGTGCGTTTCTAAGGAACCATGCAAAACGATTGCGGCCGAGTATCGACAGCCGCATCCGTCGACCACGTGAAAAAATCCGTACTTTAGACTCTTATTATTCTTTAAATATTAGTACCTGTGCAATAACAAATAATACTCTCCCCTGAATATTATTTCTGTCCCTTTTTCTCGCATCGGTCACCCTCACCCACCCCTGTGTGAATTTTTCGATGATCGTCCACCGTGAAATCGAACCGAATCGAGCAGGCCCATAAAACAATTTCGATAATTGTCGGATCTATTATCGGGTCGTGTGCGGGGTTCCGCATGGTGGCGCTGCAGGTGTGTGGAGCTTAAACGCTCTTTGGAAACTTGGGGTGGATATTATAATAAGAACGATATTTACGTAATTGCCAAAATAAAACATTGGGCGAGATACTGTTAGCACATACGAGTCCATTGTAATAAGGATAATACATTTGCGTCCAACCGTCATCTATTCCACAGGATAGTCTTCTTTTTTATTGTAATGTCACAAATTACCTATAACAGATGCGGAAGAACACCGAATTACGCGTTCAGGTTTCTGTGACCTTCAGAAAGAGTTCATAGACAATCCGCATCAATGTATAGTTTGGGTTATTATTTGTTTGAGTGAAAATAATCTGCACCAATATGTTATCGAGGCATACAAAAAGGTCCACAGACTTCGAGACATACGAAAAATCAAGTCCATTTAGCGTGTGTCGCAATTTTCACACCTTAAAAATTAGTTTTTTATAGCTATAGCAACTGTAGCGACTATGAAAAAAAGCTGTGTGATTTTCATAGAAAATAAGGGCACCTGTAATTCATTTGAGAATGTTATAAATCGCTAAAAGAGGTTTCAAATCTCTTGGATTTCTATTAATATTAAATAAATTTTATTAAAAATTGAACTAAAATTGTTAGTATCATTAAAAACAATTCAAATTCAAAAATTGTATCAGTCAAATTCCCTCATTTAAGGTGAATATCAAAGTAAATATAAATACAGCTCATTCTAAGCTCTACTTATCTTTAAGAAAAATTTAAATCATTGTTGCAATTGGGCCTTAATGCCATTTCGAATGAACAATAGTATTAATAATGTACATTGGTATTATATTAACAACTTTTGTTTTTTAATCCAAAAAAAAGTTACCAATTTTCTCAATCAAAATATTTGTGGTCCTGAAAAGGACCTTCGTTTTCCCATGTTCGTCAAGGTAGGTAATGGGTAAACGGTAAAAAAACAGGATAATGAAATTTAAAAAATTACAAAAATTGTTCAAAAGTGCCTCCCTCTTGCATTAAACAATAACCCAAACGATCATAAAATCCCCTCCTCACATTGGATAACATATCAGGGGTGACAGTGTCAAAGGCATTAAATATTTTCTGCCTTAACTGCTCCAAGTTTTGAATTTCTTCATGGCCGTAAATTTTAGATTTTATGTACCCCCATAAAAAGAAATCATTCACCGAGAAGTCAGGTGAAATTAAACGTCAGTCTAAACAAAACTGTCATTTTTGAAAACTTGTCAAAATTTGGACACACGCTAAATGGACTTGATTTTCCTATGTCTCGAAGTCTGTGGACTTTTCTGTATAATCTCACAGTAATTTAATAGATTGCTCGTCATATTATATCAGCTCGTAGGAGATTAGGAAAAAAAAAGATATTTATAGTATAAAAAATTAATTTATTTAACAAAATTTAATTAAAGATGTGACAAAATAGTTACATTTCTATTGGTTCTATCGGACTTTTTTCGACTATATAAATCTTTATTTTTTGTAAACTTTAATGCATAAAATATTTTCAATCTAATAAATAATTTAATGATGTAAATAGAGGAAATTTCTCACATGGGTGGTCAAATTCTATAGTTTTCATTATATCAAACAGCCTCTGAATGTTTTCTTCAGTGCAGAACTCATCAAAATTTAATATAAATAATTTTTCCAGCCTGTAAATAAAATGAACAAATTTTTCCACTTTCATGATCAAAGGCTTTTAAATGGGTAAATAATTTCGAGTTATCCAGAGATTCGGATTCTTTTGCAAATTTTAGACAAATATCACATTGATGTATTTGAAGACCCTTTTTAATGATGTAGCCAAACATAATTAAAGGCATTTTGAGTTGAAAACATTTCTCAGAGGCTGTTTGATATAATGAAAACTATAAAATTTGACCACCCATATGAGAAATTTCCTCTTGTTTACATCATTAAATGATTTATTAGATTGAAAATATTTGATGTATTAAAGTTTACAAATAAAGATTTATATAGTCGAAAAAAGTCCGATAGAACCAATAGAAAGGTAACTATTTTGTCACATTTTTAATTAAATTTTGTTAAATAAATTAATTTTTTATACTATAAATATCTTTTTTTTCCTTATAAATAAACACATTTGCATCCCATTTTAAATAAGATATACAAATTACCAAAACTTAGAAATAACAGTTCAAAAGTTCAACAAAAATCCTACACGCGATTTTAAAAAGAAACATATAACCACGCACTATGTCATTTCAGCAAGCGAATACGACACAGCATAGGTTTCCGGACTAAACGACTGGTGTATTTCCACCACTCAATAGGCGTGTCGTTTGCCGAGCGGTTTCCGATGCAGTCGCTTTCTTTCGCATCTGTTATAGGTAATTTATGGTAATGTTCTCTCTTCTCCCGCGTGTAGTATTGCAGTGTTCTCTCCTCTCCAGGCTTCTTTAGAGCACAAAAGAGTAAGAGTTGAGAGTAATCCGAGCCTCTGTATAGTATGCCTCTCTGCTTCTATATATTTGTGCTTTCCACCATCTACGCATTTCCTTTCTTTCCACATTGTTTGAGTGTTTAATAAATTATAATAAAAGCCAAAGCTGCAACAATTAGGTCTTTGGACATTTCGTCTATTATTATACACTCACCGGCAAAAAAACCGGCCACTAAAAACTAGTCCCAATTTTAAAGTTGGATTTCTCGCAAACCACTCATTAGATTTTGATGATTTTTTTTTGAAATTGTAAATTAATTTTTTCTTAACGGATGCTACGTCAGAAATTTCTATTCCGAGTTTATTTTGAGCATATACAGGGCACAAGAATAAGACGAAGTTTTTTGCCTGAACTTTGTAACACCCTGTGGGGTGTAGCAGCTGTAGTAGCTATTGCTAAATCAAATCACATTGTAGCCTCGTCTTTTCTGCGCATTTTGTTTTTTTAATCACGACATTATCTCTGTTTGTGTTGGAGATACGCTGCTTTAAAACAAACGCCTCGAAAAAAGATTTTGTCCATAACTCAATATCCCAATTCACAGGTAAACGCCCAAACTGAAGACGTACTCGACGATGTCTTGAAAGTAGTTGCGGTCCTATGGCAGGCCTCCCTGCAGACAAGCTGTTTTCTTTTAGTCTTTGTCGGAATGTTCTCTCAATGACTTGAGTGCTACGCATGGCTAGTAGCAGATGTTGATTCTAAAACGCTGTAATTCTACGATTTCGTAAAGTATTCAGGATAATAAAGAGATTCCAGGCATCCTGGACTGTTGTTCGAGGTATACCCAGGGTATCGGACACATAACGTTGACTTCGGCCATCGTCAATTAAAGCCACAATACGAGAAATATCCGTCACAGATAATGGCATTTTTTTAATTTGACAACCGTTGTTGTCATATTGCAAATATTCATAAATCCCTTTTCGCCTATGTCGCCTTGATTATTTATAGATAAAACTTTCTGCCTGCGAAGCATTTTTCCGAGACGTTCGTTTTAAAGCAGCATATCTCCAATACAAACAGAGATAATGTCGTGATTAAAAAAACAAAATCCTCACAAAAGATGAGGCTACAATGTGAATTGATTTAGCAATAGCTACTACAGCTGCTACACTCTAAAGGGTGTTACAAAGTTCGGGCAAAAAACTTCGTGTTATTCTTGTGCACTGTATATACTCAAAATAAATTCGGAATAGAAATTTCTGACGTAGCATCCGTTAAGAAGAAATTAATTTATAATTTTAAAAAAAAAATCATCAAAATCTAATGAGTGGCTCTCGAGAAATCCAACTTTGAAATTGGGACTAGTTTTTAGTGGCCGGTATTTTTTGCCGGTGAGTTTATTAATAGGGCTTGGTTTCCGCGGCTATAGAGAACTCATCTGCTTAACAGCACTTAACGGATAAAAGGGTCATTACTACCGCTTTCCCGTTCAAAATATTTTAATAAAGTTGCGATAAGTTTTGTACGGCTATTAAGCTCTCTTGTACATTTCGCACAAAAAGAGGTTCTAAAAAGAACAATGTTCGACTGCAAGGTCTGCTAGTTACATTTTTAAGCTTAACATATAACAAATAACACAATTTATTTAAACCAAAAACTCGTAATATAAAACTAAAGTATAAAAACGAATGACAATGTCAGGAAATAAATAAATAAATACGGCAACTTCACATATTTTAAAGCAGAGCTACCACTTGAATCCCCAGCGGGAAATTTAAATTCCAGTTAGTCAACCCGGTTATTCCAATGAATTTAAAAATCGCGCCTTCTTTTACGTAACTAAAAGTTTAATTGGTATCAAATATACGTATTTAGTTCTTACAATAGTAAAAGGTTACTTTTGTTGAGTAAAAATAGAAAAAATATTCTAAAGCCAGAGTAAAGAAAGGTTAAACCATGTGTAAACAAAGAATTTTTACTTACGTTATCCAGTTGTATATTCCAGAAACTGTCAATTCGCCCTTCTCGCTTAGAGCATGCTCTATCAGCTCTGTATACGTAAAAGGTGGCTTCTTGGGACCTATAAGTTTCTGGTTACCAGCTCTATATCCTTCCTAGAAAAATCAATCGACCATTTTAAACAATTTACTGTCAAATTAAATCGCATAATACTTACACTAATCACTATTTCGTTAATTGGTTTCTGTTGTACTACATTTACCATTCTAGTCGTATTTAGTAAGTTTTCCGTTGACGTACTGTCTGCAAAATAGCAGGAAAAAAAATAAAATGATTACAATTTTTACGAACCAATAATTATTTAACTTAATTAAAATTTTAAAAATTATATGTACAATTCAAACTTTTAGATAAAACATAGTGGAGCCTTTATGGGATACAAACCTCGGAATTCGTTTACTGTGAACGAATTTTTATAAAACTTTTTGCATTGTATTTGTTAATAAGATATATTACAAAGTTTAAATAATAATATAAAAATAAACACACATATACAAATAATGCATACATACAAGATGGCTCGGTATTCCGGAAAAGCTTAGTATCAGGATTCATATTTGAAATGTTCACTCCAAACCTTTTACAAAATATGTGTTTAATGGTAGTTCACATATCAAAAATATTTTCATAGATATACAGGGCGAGTTAAATGTATATCTATATTTCTTTAGTTCAGTGAATTTGCTATAAAATTCATGCAGGCATGCATTAATCTTTAACTTGCAGTTATTGTTAAATCCTGTGTGCACCAGTGCTCTCCAACAGAAGATAAAAAGTCACGATGCAAAAGTTGAACAATAGCATAAGGACCCCTTAATATTACCATTATTAATATGAAAGGTTAAATTTAGACTTTAATTGGATTTTAAATGCGAAAATACAATATAAGAAATAGTGTTAATTTTGTCAACCCTGTAACGCTTAAAACGTTAGACCTATGAAAAAAATGCATTCGACAATTTCATAGAAAATTTTCTGAGCTTTAATTCTCTGTATAGGGTACTTTTTCGTACGTGTCATATTTTCCGAGATATAAGCTAAAATGTCATAACATTGACATTTAACCCCTCCCCTCTCCTCGAGCTTATAGTCCATCTTCGGGGACTTTTGCTGATATCAGTCCAAGTCTAGAGAAATCATTTAAAACCATTTTCAAAACTGTCAGATTTTTTTCTACCGATTTCTCTAATTTGACTGGGCTATATTTCTAATTTGATTTAAGATGAAGATATAAAAAATACACCTTGTAAAAAACACAATTGTTAGCGTTCAAAATATAAAAAAATCACTAAACATAGTTTAGAACTAAATTGACAATAATTCTACATTGAAATCTAATTGATATAGTTTTTATCGCCCTGTATTGTTTATTTCAAGTTTGATTTCCAAGAAACACATGAATTTTATTTATATTAGAGACTCGTCACGGGAACAACAAACAGTAACAAAAAACTAAATTATTAATCAAACAAGTAATCAGCACATGGCACAGTCAAAAAATAAGCTCTTAAATAACAACGATTTTCACTCACCTGGCACTGGCGGCAATTCCTGGATCTTGTAGTTCAACAGCCAAGACAAATTTCCATCTGCGCAGTCCGATTCTATGCCACTGTCCGATCCCCTCGGACTCGGACTCACCAAATCCCTCGTATCCATCAGATCTGAGCTCTTAAGTAACCCAGGAAATGCAGAAAATTCCTCGTTCTGCACATTGTGCATCTCCGGTATAAAGTTTTGTGTTTTGTTCGTCTGATTCCAGTAGCTGTTTACCAAAATAACCTGTAAGTATCGAAAAAATACTTTTAAAACCTTTCCTGATACATTTTTTGTTTTAAATTGAACTAATCTTCTACCTTTTCTTCTTTTTCAGTGAAAAAATCTCGCTTGACGGCGATTTTAGGCACGAATCCGCCGACATTATTGAAAATTTTCTTTACGTCTTGGCCTCTGGGGTGAGGAAACGTCTGAGAAACCACCCTGCCGGTGTCCGTCGGGTCGTGGTATTCGATTTTGATGTTGGCGTAAGACTCGTCGTCGTTTTGGGGGAAATTGTTCATTTTGAAGGCGAGTTTTGGGGAGAATAAGTGAAAACAACGTGAAAAAAAGCGTAATTTAAGGTAAGACGACCGGTGAACCGGCTCGAGTTGACGTAAGCCGTCTTGACTCAGTCAAAGTTGCAGAAAAATGACAGGAAACGATAGATTGAAGCGTAAGTGACATTTCCTAACCTTAGATAAGAAGAAATATCAAAAAAATGAAGGGAATCAAACGCCAGTTTGACGTGTATTTATAAAAAAGTAATATTTTACGTGTAATGTAATTTTTCAATGATATTTTATTATTTTCTTTATTTATAAATGATCATTTACTTAAATAAACTATTTGTTATATTATATGATAATTTAAAAGCAGTGTTTAATTATTTATGGCTATTATTATCTAAATAAATATTAATTTTACATTTATGGATAAAAAAACCTATAATTGGTTGTTTTCTCTATATAGTTTTTATCTAGCTATTAGATATTAAATTATAATTTGAGTTAAACAAGTAAATATAAAAGGTATAAATGAAAAAGTGAAAAAAAATTAGGAAATAAATCTTTTTTAAAAGTAAGGGAGTATCATTTAGTTGTATAAAATTTTCCAATTTGGTGTTTACCAGCAAAGTTAGATTAGCTGGATGTATAGTGTGGACCAAAAAAAAGTATTTAATTTAACGTTTCTTCTTTTAACCGCCAAGGCGCTCAAGCTGGACAAAGGTAGACCAAAATCACAATATTATTATTATTTTTTTTGATATGGTTCAAACTAAAAAGTTGAAATTTGGTGTGTGGGCATCATTAATAATATTGCGAATTTTTGATTGGTATATAGAAGAATATATATATATATATATATATATATACTCTATTTTTTTTCTCAGGTAAGATTTCGACAGACGATGACAGAAAAAAAGCAGATGACGTCCATACCAATCCATTTATTTAACTAAAAAAGTTTCTAATATTTTTTAAGTTAACTATGGATGGGTTTATACATAAATCCGTCATGCGTCATCTTTTGTTGTTTTTAACCAGTTCTATTGGTTTATTTCAAAAATGACAGATCATATTTCAATATTGTTGGTTTAACAGAACGATGAGCGACAAACGGACTCCGATGCGTATGAACACGACTTAAGATTTTTGAGAGTTGTCAAACTCTTGCCAAATTATACGTTATAATTTTGTGTCAAATTATGTCAAATAGAAATGATAAATATTTGGCATTTTGGACTGTGTTATTACGTGTGTTTCGTGTTTTATTTTTAAATTAAGTGGAGGAAAACTCAAAGGGGAAATTAAGTGTTGACCCAGACAGTTAATGTTCAGTGCCCAGAGACAGTTTGCCAGAGATTATAGCCATAAAGAGTTGTATTAGTCACAAATAAAGATTATATACTATCTTGTATATGATACCAAAAACTGGAGTATTTGTAAAATAGCAGCACACGATAGGTAAATAATAATTATATTGAGTAATTATATTAATAAATGTAACAATAAATGCAGGAAGTTGCTTGAGCTTGAAACACGGCTTGAAAGCCGGAAATCTTATCTTTTTTTGGTATGTGGTGTTTTTTGAAATACACCCTTGCTTGTTTTGTATTAACACATACTGTAATTATTGTTTTCAATAAAATAACTCGATTTCAGTGGCGGATACAGAGGAGGGCCCATGGGGCCCGGGCCCCCCCTACAATCTGTAAATTGTGTTAAATATTAGGCTTTTTGTTAAAAATGGCGCCCTAAAAAGAATATTCTACATTACTTTTTATTTTGGCCCCCCCCTAAAATAAATTACTGTATCCGCCCCTGCTCGATTTGATTTTTTCAATTTTATGCAGTTTTTTTCAAAATATTTTGAAGTAATCACTTGTCACTCAAATTTTAAATATATATTCATTTTCTGCTATGCGTTCCAATTGTACTAACTTATTTGTAAAATAAAATAAACTACTTTGAAAATAAAATGACAGACACATCTATCACTGTCAAGGATCTTGTCGTTGAACAGATTATATTTGAGACAACTAATACATTGCTCGAGATCTCTAATAGATACCAGAAATCAACAGAAGAATTAAGTTAGCATAGAGTTCTTATGGAAGAAACTTAATTATATTCAAATGTAAAATGCCACTTTATCTACAGAAGAAAACATTCGACCATTGTGTCCTACCAGTCATGATGCATGCGAAACCCGGACACTTAAAACGGACATCATATGGAAATTGCAGGTCGCCAAACGCTTAATGGAAAGACAAATGCTGGGAATTATCAAAAGAGACCGTAAAAGAATAGAATGGATACAACAAAAGACCCTTGATGTTGAACAGATGTCATCCACAGAGTCAAACACCTCAAGTGGCAAAGGGCAAGACACCTGTCAAGAAGGACGAACAACAGATGGATCACAAAAATTACAGCATGGTATCCACGAGGAATTAAGAGACTTAGAGAAAGGCCGAACCTGAGATGGGGCCATGATATTAGGAAATTAGCAGTGATAACTTGGGCCCGCATAGCCAAAAATAGACAACCAATGGGTTTAGCTACAAAGAGGGAGGCTACACCATAATTGGAAATAGTTGAATAAGCTGAAAATGATGATGATGATGACCTATAGTCTGTCCAATGGTAAAATTACGACATTTGTCTATCATTTTAATTCAAAAGTAGGATGTAGTTTCTGTCATTTTTTAGATGTCGTTTCTCAAGAAAGAAGTATTATATCATGATACTTCTATAATCATTAAAATCAGGATATTTAAGGGATATAATTTGGCGAAATAAATATATGAGCCTCAGAAGCAAAGTTAGAATTTTAAAGCTTACTTGAGACCGGTTATGACGTATGCAGAAACTAGAGCAGAGAACACAATAACAAAGCGGTTCCTATGAACAACAGAAATGCCAACACTTAGATCAATTACAGGATATACCTTATATGACCGGAAAAGGAGTGAAGATATAAGAGAGTCATGTGAAACACAGGATGTAGTAAGGTGGGCAAGAAACAGGAGAGATGGTGGAAAGACCATGTGGACAGGATGCCAAACGACCGGTTAGCGAAAATTGCTAAGGAGAAAAGACCTAACACATCTCGACCGCCTGGACGACCACCTATAGGATTGTATAAAAGCTGGTCTTCATCATCCTAACTGTTCTTAGGGAACCATTGAAGAAAACACAGGACTTGGTCCTAACGTACAAAGAAGGAAAAAGAAGAAAGACTTTACATACAGGCAGTTGAAAGAGCTTCCCCACTTGTAATATATGATTATATCGCAAGTATTAGGTAGTAATTATTTTGGAACTGCATACTAAGTTCATAAAAAAGCATTAGGAGCTTGTCTACAATTGACTTAGTAATATGACATATACCGGATGTTTCAAATTCCACTCTCACCATTTTTTTTTAGAATGAGTGGGAGGGGGGTTAATCACTTCGACCTTACAGATCCATTGTGTCCCCCTTTCATGAATCATAACTCATCATACAGTCCCAGGGCTTTGACAAAAGCCAGTGCGGTTTTATAGAGGGTAGTTCTCCATCTCCAATATCAGTCGTACCAAAATTCATGGCACGAATGGTTGTCGTCTCGGCGCACTCAGTGATGAGGTGTACTGGTGTTTCCCCATCTTCCCCACAGAATCTGCATTCGCCGTTTCTTCTTAGTTTCAATCTACTGAGGTGTTCATTGAGGAGACAGTGTCCTGTTAAAAACCCCGTGACAATCCGAAGATTGTTCTTACTCAGACCCAGGAAGATCTGTGATTTTTCTTGATCATAAGCCCTCAGAAACTTCTTCGAGTGTCTTAGACCATTGCAAGATTTCCATTCCAGGTTGCGGATGGAATCTTCCAAGTTCTTGAGTTCCGCCTTGAGTTGGCAGCACTTGGAAAGCAGAACGGTTCTGGTCCAGTTAGTGGAGTGTTCGCTCCTTTCCTAGCTAGATTATTTGCTTTTTCATTGCCTTCTATCCCTTGGTGAGCAGGCACCCAGTGTAGGAGGATTTTGTTTTCTTTGCCTAATTTATTCAGCTTCTCTATGCATTCTTTGACCAATTTCGAATTTATTGATACTGAGTTGATCGCCTTTAACGCTGCTTGACTATCAGACAAGATGGCTATTTCTTGTTTCCGATAGTTCCTATCTAAGATAAGTTGTACGCATCTCTCGATAGCGTAGATTTCTGCCTGTAGGATACTAGGGTAAGTGCCCATTGGTTCGGTAATTAGCTCTCGGCCCAAACACTCCGATCCCTGTTCCCGTATTGGTTTTGGAAGCATCAGTATACCAAGTTATGGTATGGTCTTTTAACTGCTGGGCAAGCGTTTCGCTCTTCCAATCCTTCTTATTGCTCAATACTACATTGACATGTTTGTCAAAGTTGTACGTTCTTGACATATCGTCCACTGGGAGTTGCAGGAGTGGTGTTTCCTTTTTGAGGGTGTTCCAAGCCCCTGATCTGACAATTCTCCCAGTACTAATTCCGTTAGTGACCATTCTAATCATTGTCGCATTGGCATATCTACCAATGACAATGTGCAGTGGTGTTAGATCTAGAATGACCTCCATTGCTGCTGTTGGACAGGTTCTCATGGCTCCTGTGATGCAAACACATGCTAGTCTCTGGACTTTGCATAGGTTTAGCCTTGCCGTCCGTTGCTCTAGCAGTTGCCTGGTACACAAAACTAGAGTTTTGTGTACCAGGCAACTGCTCCATAAGTAATCATGGGTCTTACTATCATGGTATACATCCAGCGCAAAATGTTAGGGGAGCAGCCCCACCTATTTCCGGCCAGTCTTCTGCATATCATGAGAGCCTTTATGGCTTTGCTGGTAGTGTTCTTAATATGCCTGTTCCCTAGGAGTTTACTGTCCAGGGTTATTCCCAGGTATTTAACTTCCTGTGTTGGCAGTATTTCCTTTCCATCTAGTTGGATTCTTTTCAAGTTTTTCAGACTTCGCCTTCTGGTGAATGGCACTATCGCGGTTTTGTCTGAGTTGATACTCAGCCCGACAGTCCTACACCATCTCAGTGATACGGAGTCCTCTTTGGATAATATCACACAAGGTGCCTTCATGTTTCCCCCGAGCGATCATGACTATGTCATCTACATACCC